CTTTCCCTAAGCAGGATGGGAGCTAGGGAGTGGGGATTGTGGTCATCTTGTAGCACTTTGTCTATGCTGCTCCTTTCTCCTCATGCTTTTCCTCTGTTCCAGCCTGGGTTTCCTCCTGGAGGGTACAGTTGTTCACAAGCTGCTCCAGTGTGGGCCATTGTCACAGGCTGCAGTTCAAGTTCTCCAGTGTGGGTCCCTTCCTGAAGGACTGTACCCTGTGGAACAGACTGTTCCAGTGTGGGTCCTCCATGGGGTCACAGGTCCTGCCAGAAAATCGGCACCTGCATGGGCTCCTCTCTGCAAGCTACAGCTCCTGCCAGGAGCCTGCTCCAGCATGGACTCGATAGGCTGCCGTTTCCTTCAGGGCACATCCACCTGCTCTGGTGTGGGGTCCTCCATGGGTAGCAGGGTGGATGTCTGCTCCACTGTGGTCCTCCGTGGGCTGCAGGAGGACAACCGGTGTCACATGGCCTTCAACACAGGTTGTAAGGGAATCTCTGCTCTGGCACCTGGAACACTTCTTCCTTCCCCATCACTGACCTTAGTGTCTGCAGGGCTGTTTCTCTCACATGTTATCACTTGTCTCAGTTTTGGAGTGCTTTTAACCTTTCTTAAATATGTTATCACGTAAGTGCTGCCAGTGATGGGTTAGGGTTTGGGCGGTGGTGGATCTGTCATGGAGCTGCCTTTCTGCAACAAGCTTCTGGTATCTTCTCACAGAAGCCACCCCTGCAGCCTCCTACCACAACCTTGCTGTATAAATCCAATACAGGAATAAATGACTGATGTCAGGGAGTGTTTACAGTATTCCATACCAACTTTCAAGTCTACTGTATGTTCATGAACTTTCTTGTTATTTTTTCCCCCAGTTAAAATATTTGGATTGCATACTTGGCATACATTAAATGAATTCTCAAGTCTTCTCTGTAACTATCCTTCAAATTTTACACGTCTTCCAAAGTATAGTGCAGTGATGTACAGAAGTGACCTGCTGAATGTACACAGCTTTTCTCCTGGGATGTGTGGCTGTGGATATATTCTATGGAGCTCCTGAGAACTTTCACAACTTCTGACTCTTAAATCCAATTTTGTGTCCTTGATAGAAAAATACAGTTCTCCCATTGCTTTGTTTTGTTACAAAGGTATTTTTTATACATGTCTTCAGCCTACTGTGCCTCTGAAGCACCTTTTGGGCTGCAAGAGTGCTAGATATGTTCTGGTGTTTTCTGTGAATGGAAATGGTTGGGTTTTCCTGTCTTTGTCACAACTTTCTTCTCCCTAGTTACCTTTGTGATGTAATGCCATGAACCCCAACTGGCTTTGGTAAACTTTAGTGATAATCAGGTTGAGTGGCAGTTGAGAAGATCCTAAGGGCTGATTCTGATTTGGGACTGGATATTTATATGCTTATAGTCTCTAGATTTAATTCCTTGCTTGTTCCTGTGTTTTGCTGTAGGGTATGTTGTATGTGTTACTTCATAAATCTTCAAGGGAGGATAAGGCAATTAAGATTTTTCTTCAGAGCTTTGATTGGTATTGTATCTGAGATTGCTGGCAGCTTTGTTTTTATGGTTATGTACCTGGTAACAATTGTTGAAAAACTGAATTGCAGTTTGAGCACATCTGTTCTGTGGTGAATGGGATAAACACAAAGTTCCCTTTATACTGCCTAATTTCTTTGAGTTCAGATACTTCTATGTTTTTGTTAACACCTGGTGGAGCCAAAGATGGGCTGTTAACAGGCCTATGTTGTTGTGCTTAATGACTGTGTAATTTATGATCTAATACTTGTTTGCACCTGGAGCAGAAAGCTGTTTCAGCAAAATATTCTATTTTACTTGTTCATTTATGCTTAAAAATCCAATGAGCGTAATGTTTTTTGTTCTCTTACAGTTCAACTTTGTGGGAAAACTTTTGGGTCCACGTGGCAATTCTCTAAAGCGTTTACAGGAAGAAACACTGACAAAAATGTCTATTTTGGGAAAAGGTTCTATGAGGGACAAGACAAAGGTAAGACACAAGTATGTTAGTGGAGTGTTTGATGCTGAATTTGTAACTTAGCTAAAACTTGAGGTGAACAGATGCCATGATAAAAATAGAAGCAAACAAAAGGTGTAGGAGAGCCTTGTATTGGTCGGGTTCAGATGGAGTCTGTTGTCTGAGGAGACTGTTCTCACCGAGTGTTTAGAGGCTGTGAGGAGTTGTACATGGGCCCCTCAGACTCTGGTGCTTGGAGGTGTAAGTGGGGCATGCTAGCAGTGGCATGTCCTAGGTAGGTCTTGTACAGCTTATGAGTAATGCCCAAGTGAATGTGGCAGTGGTCTCAATTTTAAAGGAACCTGACCTCCAGATTGATCCAAACAAACATTTTCACATAAAATTATGACATTTAAATTTGGTAACATTTAATAGCATTTCTAGACAGAGATAAGCAGTTGAAAGGAGATAACACAAAACCAGAAATGTCACAGCTCTGAAGATGGCTTATGCAGCTAAAGCAGTTGACAAATTGCAATTGCTTCTGTAGGAAGTATTTGGTTATAGTGGGTGTATCATCACAAGAGCCAGAGCAGACAGCAGAATAGGAACCTTTAGCTTCATAGGTGCTTGTACTCATCATTTTCACTCTCCACTGAAACAGATCTCTGGCTAAATTTGTAGCAGGAAGGTGTACACCAGTGAGATGTCACCTGTCTGGGAAGCTGCATTTTTTTAATTGAAGCATTCCTAATGGTACAGATTAAAACATTGAACATATCTGTGGCCTGTAGCATCCTCTGTTTTACAGACCTCCAGTAAAATCCTTCTGTGGTTATGGAATCTGAAACTTAAAAATATTGTGGGATATATAAAGACTGATAATCATATGCATATGGAAGAGTGACTTATAGGGCTGGCTACTGAATTTCCTAAACTTTATTTGTTAGCACGTTTTCCATCAGCCAAATAAAAGTTGTGATTTATCTTAAGAACCTGGTCAGAGCCCATAAAGTGTTCTCTGCACTTAAGAGCTCACTCTTCAATTCCTTCCTGAAAGTATTTTTATTAAATATAATTTGCATCATTATAACTTAGGTTTATACAAATTCATTCTCCTATAATAAAGGTTTGAAGATGAGGGATTTGTTTGAATGGGAGTTATGTGATACATAATACAGGTAATGAGACTTTAAATGTTTCCCAGTTATGAAAAACTACATTTATAGTAACATTAGGGAATATGACAGTTCAACCAGGAAAGAATATAAACTAAACTTGCTCTATCCCAGAATGACAAAATAAGTCTCCAAATTGCTTTAAATGACACATGGTAAACTTTGTCAGTTCTCCTGGAATGTGTCAAACTAACATTATTCTGTTGCTACATTACAGGTTTCCATATCAAAATACATTGGCATGGAGTAGGAAGTATAAAAAGCAAAAAGCTTGTTTTAGTAAAAGTAGGAGCTTATGCTGAGAAGTTGAGATCCTAACTTGAGTCTTAGATTCCTGGGAAAAGGGTCTTAAAGGTTTCTATTTGAATCATTCTCTCGTTTCCTTTGGTAATGAAGTAATTGTTAAAATTTTTATTTGACTTTCTTGATTGAGATGCTAGCCAAAACTGCTTAAGTAATTTTTTTTTTTAAAAAAACTGTGTGGCTAATTTTGGTAATGAAGTAATTGTTAAAATTTATTTGACTTTTTCTTGATTGAGGTGCTAGCCAAAACTGCTTAAGTAACTTTTTTTTTTTTAAAAACTGTGTGGCTAACAAGGTGGTTAGTTTAGTGAGCTGTTTGCAGAAACTTCAGCACAGCTCATCTTTGAGTTCAGAAACAGCAAGATTCCTGTCACTGTGGGTCTGGTTGTGTTTTTAAAAGTGACAGCAGAGAGGAGCCAGTTGAATACTCTGCATTAATAGAGCTGGATTAGTTTCTATGTACAATTTGGAATAATGCTTCACTGAGTATCATTCAGAACTAAAGCAGACCAAATTAAGGAGACTGTTTCCAGTACCGAGTTGAACCAACAGGATGTGTAAGTACTGGTGCTACAAAGGGATCCTACCACCTAGTAACCTAAACCAGGTTGCATTCATCCCTAGTTCTTTGGGAACAAAGCTCAGCAAGCTGCAAACTGCATGTAGAGAATTTAACCAAACTAGAGAACCTCAGATTTTTCTCTAGTTTGATGTAGACTTTCTATGTAATTGTTTCACTGATAACTTATTTCACTGGCAAGTAACTCATATTTTATGTTGATATTAGAATCATAGCATCATACAGGCTGGAAAAGACCTTTACATAGTGTCCAGCTGTTAACCTAGTACAGCCAAGTCCACCACTAAGCCATGTCCCTAAGCCTCATTTCTACACACCTTCTAAGTATCTCCAGGGATGGTGACTCCACCACTTCTCTGGGTAGCCTGATCCAGTGCTTGATAACCCTTTCAGTGAAGAAATTTCCTAATATCCAACCTTCCCTGGCACAACTTGAAGCTGTTTCCTCTTGTCCTATCACTTGGGAGAAGAAGCTGACCTGTGTTTGCAACAGCCTCCATTTGAGTAGCTGTAGAGAGCAAGGAGGTTTCCTCTGAGCCTCCTTTTCTCCAGACTAAACCACCCCAATTCTGTCAGCCATTCCTCATAGGACTTGTGCTCCAGACCTTCACTAGTTTCCTTGCCCTTCTTTGGACCTGCTCCAGCATCTCAAGGTCCTTCCTGTACTGAGGAGCCCAAAGCTGAACCCAGTATTCAAGCTGCAGCCTCACCAGTGCTGAGTGCAGGGGGAAGATCACTTTCCTAGTCCTGCTGGCCACACTGTTTCTGATACAAGCCAAGAGGCTGTTGCCCTTCTTGGCCACCTGGGCATACTGCTGGCTCATATTCAGGTACTTTTTGATGGTGATCACAGGTTCTGGATGAGCCACGATGTCAGAGGCTCTGCATCAGTCACATTTCTAAACATTTGTTAGTATGAGTACTAAATTACCAGCTTAAAATGAATAATGATTCTTACCTCTTTCCTGAGATAAAGTGGCAGTTAGCTACATAGCCTTCTCTAGGAAAAATTTCTAAATGCTTAATTACTCTTACTTTTTTAACTTGAAGAGAACTTCAAGTTATGTGAAGGATTGGGAAAATGTAGTGAAGATCACCATTATCTCTTACAAGTTCTCCAGGGAACAATTTAGATGAACCAGGATAATAGATGCAGATAAACCAGTTTGACTTTAAATCCATTTTGGGTCTCAGTATTTCTCTAGCTCTGACTTGTAATTGCCTTTTTAGAATGTCCAGTTTGCTTCCTAATAAGAAAACTGTCTTTAGGAGTATATTTGGAAAAGTCTTTCCTGTATCTTTGCTTACTACTACTTAAACTTAGGTCTATAGAATCAGTCTAGGCTTCTATTTTCATCTCTTGTCAACATCTGGAGGACCATTTCATGTACCTACTTGTGATATAGAATATCCAAATTCAGTAATTCTCTTCAACTAACATGTTTTTTCAAGCTGTGCTGTCATTTCATCACTTTTTGCTGCTCAGTGCTGATACCTTCTGCTAGACTAGTCAGGCTTTCCTGTGTATATAGAGGAGTGAAAAAGTAAACTGACTCATTTCAGACTTTCTGTATTCCATGGCAACATTGCTTTTATATTCTATATCTGAAGAAAACTTAAAGCCTTCTACCCCAATCGGCTATTCATGTGTTACCAATAGTTCAAAACTGGTACAGGCTTTTCAATAACTTGAGTGTTCTGAATGGTTTATAAAATCTGACAGAAGCCAAATTTAAGGTAACATTAAAAATAAATATCAGGTAGTACCTAAAGAAACTTAGAATCTAAATCAAAGGTGATGTCGTGAGGATGAAAATGGACAGTACTAGGAGCATATTTTGATAAATACTACAACTCAAGTTCTATTTTAAAGCAGTTTCTTGATGGCTTGACAAGTAGGATGAAAAGCAAAAGGCTCTATAGGTACAACAGAATATAGGGCAAAATATATTCACTATCATAGCAGGCACACTGCCATGAGCTGTGCTAGTGTTGTGCTGTATTCTGGACCGTGAGGGGATGAAATACAAGAGCACAAGGTACAAAGCAAACAGGGCAAGCTTTCTCCTAAGGCTCCCAGAGTACAATACTGCAGGGGTGTGTCTGCACAGAAAACATGAAGTTAAATCAGGTTGTCCAAATCATGAACCATTTGGTATGATAGATTGTGTGAGAAGATGTAAAATACAACTTATTTTTTTCTAAAAAAGGAAGTGCTGACCTTGGTGTCTTTTAGCACCCTTGTTCCACATGTGGTTTGCTTTCATCCTTTCAGCAGCTCTCAAACCTCTGTTGCAGTAGAGGAAAATGAACATTTGCTGTTTTGGGCAGCCAAGCAGCAGCCACATGCACTGGGCAAGCCTGGCCAATGTATACATTGACAAGGAATGGAAGGCAGAGGATTTTGTGAGGTTTAAAAATACTGTCAGTGAGGGAGACAGGGATGGGAATGACCTGTGGCTTTTGTTTCAGTCATCAAGAGGAATAAAAAACTCTGTAATGCTGTAATGTGTGCCCAAGGCTAGGAGATAGAGGCCAGTGAATGAGCTCATTCTCATTTGTGTGCTGTTAAAAGCTATGGAGAGAAGTGTTTTGCCAACTCATGTTACAGAAGTGAAGAAAAAAATCACAAGTGAACTTTGCAAGTGAAGCGAAGAAGAAAGGATAAAGTTACTGTAAAAGCTTGCTTATGGGAATGATTCTAGAACCACCTGCACTGAGATTTCCTACTTGTGTTTTTAAAATTGCTGATTGAAATCCTCTTTCACCAGGCACTGCACATGATATTGTGACTTCTCTATTGCTTATTGCTATTACCAGGCAAATTGATAATGCAGACATCTTTGAGCATCTAACTGCACAGTTGTTCTTTTTCCCCTTTAAAAAAGGGACAGGGACTCCTTCATAGGGTGTATATACTAAAAACTAAAGTACATGAGGAACTCTGAAAACATCTAGCTTTCCGTGCTAGATGACAGTTCTTATGTCTTGAATAACTGTGATTAAAGTAAGCACTGAAGTGAGAAACAGTGCCTCCTAAAACTAATATTCAAGAGCTGTAATGTTCATATTAATTTTATTTCCTGCTTCAGAAATCTGTTACTTTTATTGACAAGATAATGATTTTGCTGACAGTCTAATCCTACTGATTTTAGCCTCTAATATACTTGCTGTGGATGCTCTAACAGCTACCTAGATTCTGTTGATTTTTTTAAAATATCCTGTAGTCAGTTACAAAGCATAATGACAAAAGTTATTAGAAGCAGAAACAGATTGCTGCTTATAAACCTGAACCCATAACTAAGGGGTGTATGTGTAGAAATTTCAACTATCAAAACTATAATTTTAGTAATCCAAAGGATAAAGTACTTACCTGGTGCTTGCTAAATAATAAACAGCAGAAGAAAATTCTTAGGGCTTCTGTATTTTGACAGCAGAACTGCTAAGAATTTGTTATGTTATCTGGTAATGCAATTAAATGATTTTTAACAATGGTTTAGTCTCAGAATGCATCTGTCAGCTCCACATGGGAGGCAGGGAGTCTGTGAGACTAAGAAATGGTCTCCTCTAGGTCTGTGAACGTTTTGCATGTGAATGCAAGTATTTGACAACTGAGCTCTGCTCCACTACATTGAAATCATGTTTGCTCTGTTATATTGAAGTGTTGAGTGAAGCAGAATAAAAGAAACTCTATTCTGAAATAGCCACTGAACTCTTTCTCTAATGTCCTTCTCCCTTCTGCCATGCTGTTAATCTCATGTCCAAGTAGCCCAGATTTGTGAAGGATGTGCTCATGGGGTAAAAATCTCCATGAGAATAGAAAATAAGAAATATCTGAGCAGTGCAACAATACTAAAATGGAAATAGTGGTAAAATCTTGTTCTTGTGGAGCATTAGATCAAACCTTTTCTTGAGAAAAGAGACTTGAAGTTTACTTATGTTTCTCCATGTCTTCTCCATGAATGTGGTACATTTGGGAACACCTGTGGGAACAGCCTTCCTTGTGTTCCAGCTCCTGTATGTGAGCAGAAGCTGATGGGTCCTTTTTTCTGTTACAAGTCACTATAGTGTAAGTTTTCTTATAAATGGTATTCTCATATTTTAGCAACAAGATTGGTTTTAAGTGTGTAAGGAAAAGTATGTAATTTTAGTTGAGGTGTTACCACCTGGACATGGGTGAACAGTATGTACAGATGCCTCTGAAGCAAATTTAACACTTGCACTGTAATATATTTAAAATAAGAAGGTGGAAATAACCCAACATTTTTCTTATCTCCTAGGAGGAAGAGTTGAGAAAAAGTGGAGAGGCAAAGTACTTCCACCTAAATGATGACCTGCATGTTCTAATTGAAGTATTTGCTCCACCAGCAGAGGCATATGCCAGAATGGGACATGCATTGGAAGAAATCAAGAAGTTCCTCATCCCTGTTAGTATCTTTAGTTTTTTTATAAGAATTTTTAGTCTTGAGTGACAACTTTGGTCCATAACATTCTTACTGTATGATACTGGTAAAGTCATGTTGTGTAAATTCCTTCACCTGTGAAGATGGGGTGATGCTTACAGATACTTTTGGTACAGGTGGTTAATGGATGTATGCATACCTGCCTACATACAGTCTCATCTCAGGATATGACCTATAGTAAAAGAACTTACTCTTGCTTAACTAGTCATGTGCAAAGTAATTAAGTTCACAAGTAATTGAAAAAAGTCTAAAATATGGGGGGGAAAAAAGCTGATTTGCTTAAGGTGGGGCTTGTTGGTGTTCTTGGTTCACTTGAAGCATCAGCACAGGGTTCTGCTTCACCAAGAAGAAATAAGTTTTAATTAGTAGGATTACTTCTATTCATAATTTTGTTTTAGTGTTCAGTGCTGAGAATAAATTTTTTTCCACAAATTCAGTGATACATGGGTTATACTTGTCTTCTGGTGTGTACTTTAACTTGTGATGTATCCCATGTAAGATATCCATACAATTTCAGTATAATTTTACTCCAGGTTTAGGATATGTATAGACAATGGTGTTGAAGGGTTTCTAGTGTCTTTCTATGGACTCCTTTATTTGCTTCTCATGTAAGGAACAACCTTGATTGTTTCATGATATTAAACTTCTTGGAACAATCCAAGCCCTCAAGTTGCTGGAGCACTTGAGGTGGTGTTACAGTGGATTTCCAAACTATTAGCTCTTCAGTGAACATTCTTCTATTATTGATTATCAAATGAATGAATGTAGAAAGCAAGGCATTGAAAAGGTCCATTGTGTTCTGTTTATTTGTATTTTTAGTGATTCATGGGAGATGTAGGCAAGGAAACTTTAAGTATCTGAGTGACAGCAGCACAGAAACGTTTGAGGGTGTAGTCAGTGTAGCTGTATCCAGGACCAGTTGGGGATGCTTGTGTGGCCACTACAGCCTCTTGGGAGTGAACTTCCAGCTGTACTCCAGGATGAAGCAGCTGGTGCTGATGACCTGACAGTGACACAGGTATTTTTTGGATTTTAGTTGGTACTAAACCTAGTCAAGATCTATGAAACTAAGTCTTCAAGTGTCTGGAGTGGGTTATGTTCTCTTTGAGTGTTTCTTTTGGCATGTTTTTGTCTGAATGAAAGATGGTTCATAGGCCCCAATACCACTCCATGACATGTACCAAGGCATAGGTAGCAGTCATCAAGAGATTGATTTAGGAATATGTCCTGGTGTGAAATATGCTATTGTGAATGCACATTATGGTAGTTCAAAACCAAATAACTGTCCTGAGCATCACATTCTCTTGTTATGAAGAAGCAAGCATCATGTGAAACTTTGTCTGCAGGTTCTAAAATGGCTTTTGCCTGGATGTATGTGAAAAAAAGGCAAATAACTACACTAATGTTCAAACTTACTAATTGATTAGGCAAGGGATACTCAACAGAATAGTTGTAGGAATGGTGGACTGTCATAATGTTGAAGGTTACTGTATTTACATGATTTATGACTTCATTGTGTGAAGAGATAAGGGAGAATTAAATTCTTGGCTATTCTTGAGCAAAGAGCTGCTTTCTTTTTAGATGGCAATATGCTCAATTTGATAAGTGATTTTTACAGGCACTGGAAGTAAGGATATAGCTAATCCCCTGCCCCCTTCATCAGAGATCTTATTTTTCTTCATTGAGCTTAATTCACCTAATGTCATAATAAATGAAGTAAGCTTATCAAAACCTATCCATTGCTCTACTGCTGTTAAGCCAATAGAATTACAGACTGGTAATGAGCAATCCCCTTCATTGGTTGTACATTTCAGTCTCAATTTTTGGTCATTGCATCTTTATTGTATTGAGCTGAACTGATGCTACATAATCTTCTCTGAACTATGGGATCATGCCAACGCTGGCTTAATTTCCCTTTGGCTTTTCAAATGTAATCTTATCAGTATGGTTTTAAATGCTTTAATCTCTTCTGCCTGCCCCTTCACCCCCCCCTTACAGCAGCCACTCCAGGAAGCAATAAGCTTTGTCCTCTCCAGAACTAGCATTTGAACTGCTGCAAAATACAACTTGATTTTTTTATCTAAGGTCTGTGGTGGCTTTCTTAGAAAATAACTAGCTTTATTTCAAGAGAAGTCCTGCTATCAATATATAACATGATCTTAATTTGTGTTTTTCTTGCAGTGTAAGCTAATTATGCGTTCCCACAACTTCAGATGTCAAGCCTAATTTATGAGCATGATCATTGTTCAGTTTGCAGATCAGGCCTGAGTATACAATCACAATTGGTGCCAGAATGTAGGATACAAAACATCCTTGTAGTAGCTGACTATAGAAAGAATGTTGTGGCTTCTCTTCTCAGATTTTCTTTTTTAGATCCACCAACAAGCAGCTTTGCATTGAAGCTCAGCCTCAAGTAGCTGCAGTGGTGTATTTCTCTTTAAAGTGCTTGTGGAACCCAAACCAAGACACAACCTTGATTTGAGTTGTGTTTTTTTTTTTGGCTGTGCTTATAATATTGCCTTGATTCTCACCTGTTGTGTGCAGGTAGAATTCTAGCTTCTGGATATTCAAGTATATAGTATATAATACAGAATCATAGTGATTTTATGATTGTATTTTCTCCTTTTAATTAGTCCATCTTTGTTCTGTCCAGACCCTCTGATTAGCAGTCTGTTAGATTGATAGGTGTTGTGCTCTTTACTAATTTATCCCAGAATTCTGCTGTCAGTTAAGACAAAATGCCAAGTACTTCCACCCTTACCTCCTCTCAGGTCCTGTACTATACCATGATTACTGCAGTTTTGGTAAACAGGATTTTTTTTTAGCCTTTGCTTAATTTTTGAGTAGTAGTAAATTATCTGACAGCTACAGCATTATAGTTATGCTTTGCTGTTGGTTACCCAGGTTTTCCTTGTCTTTAAAGCAAAGTGTAGAAATCTGTAGCAGTTTTTACATGAACAGAACTTATAGGCTTTCCCTGTAGTCTACCTTACCTCCTGCATATTCAGTTTGTGAGATGAGGTGATGAAATAGTGTGTAATGGCATTTGGAACAGCTATTGGACTTGGAAAACTCACACACTTTTCTTCAAGGTGTGTGTGTATGAAGGTGGCTGATAACTATTACTTACTGCCAGGATAAAGATCTGCCTGGGCATTTTTTTAGGACAGATCCATGCAAAACCATATGCAGTTTTGCATTCTATTTAATGTTGTTACCAATATTTGGAATAACTTAGAATAAATTCTTAAGTTACAGATAATCCCAAGGAGAGCTGTTGCCAGTCTGTTGATCAGGGCTGGTTGAAAATCACAAAAATCTGGAAGAATATTGCTCACTTGGGTCATGTAAGTAATTCCATCTAGGGGGAAAATCTCATGCATAAGTCTTGATGACTTAATCATTCCTGCAGAAGAAAACATCTTACATGTTCAGAGAAGACTAATCAAAGTCAGGATGGGTAATATTCATAAGATGAGCCTCCCTCTGTTCACTTGAATTCATCAGCAGTATTGGACTGAAGTTCAAGTGTTGCCTCTGCCTAAACTGTACAGGACAGGGTTGCAGTCAGAAAAGTTTCCATGTTACTCTCACAGGTGAAGAAGAGCTTGCCTCCTCCCTCTAAACGTGCTGTTTTCCAGCAGTGGGCATTCATACTTTGAGCATCTGTTACTTTTAATTGAAGAATCATTTCAGAGTCGAATGGATTAACACCATCCCTTATTGTGGTGATGTGCACTTGTACTGGCACTTCCTTGTACTGCCTCTTCACTTTGTCCTCCTGCTGCCTCTGGTGTGTGAGATAAGGACCATATCTCCTGTGCCTTTGTGCAGTGGAGCCCTTGTCTATGCCTAAGGCTGCTGGTATGTCTAGTAATGTGCTACAGGGAAATGAAAGGATTGGGGAGAAAAAGGACCCAACACATGCAGTGGTAACTTAAGTGTGTCTCTGCTAGGAAATGAAATCAATGTCAAATGAGCAAAGGTATTTTTCTAGGAAGCTAGACATTCTCAAGGGCATCTCTGATCTGTGCCATGTCAGAACTTTGAGACAAGTATTGTTGTGCATTTTTAGCTATTTATTACCATTTTGTTTCAAAGTTGAAGCTCTTCATTCCATACTTTGCATAGAATTTTGCCTTTGTCAGCAGTGCTGGTCCAGCAAAAAAGTAAGAAATTTAAAATGAGTCTCTGTGCAGTAGTTGGCCAAAATAGTGTTCAGTTGCCTTGTTCTGTTCTACCCCTTCTGATGGTTTGGCTGTGTATGAGTTGCAAGGTTTTATAGCAGTCTGTTTCTCAGAAGCTCCAATTATGCAGTTTGAAACAGTTGACTCAGTTGTCCAGGCCTTTCCTCACCTTGCTTGTTGGTTGGTTCCTGCTGCTACTTAGAGGATGATCTCAGATGTACAGTTGAGTTAAATTTCAAAGACTATTTGAAATAGTGTGGGCAGAATGTCCTTAGTGCCACTTTTGGAACAGTAGTAACTATCTCCAGCAATGGCCTGTAAAGGGAAACTTTGGAAGCTATGGGGAAGGATAATGGAGATCTTTGTTTGTAAACGTTTTAATCTTTCAGTGCAGAGTTCTGTTACAGTCAGTGTTCTGATCCAAGGCTGCCTGACACAGTTTTGGTACTCACCTAGTGCATAGATGTAATAAAATCAGATTTTTTTAATAGGAGATGCAGATCCTTTGTTTTGTAACAGAAACGTAATAGTAGGTGATATTTGGGCAAATCTGCTTTCTTGAAATGGAGGGATTTGCAGAAGAGCTGTTGTATCAGGAGTGTCACTTGTTATTGGAGGACCTGTTAATAGATGGACAGTGTGTTTATGTAAATATGGAGTAAAGAGCTCCTTGCTGTAACTGTTTTATTCCCATGCAGTATGCTGGTTTTGGAGGGTGACTCAAGGTCCCTGGAAAGGCTCTTGAGAAGTACCATATTAATTCCATGTAAATAACTTCAGCTTTCTTTTTGATAGACCTTGAGGGAGGATTTGTGCCAAATAAGAAACAAGCCATGTCTTCAAATTGTTTAACCTTGCATGTTCTAGAACTGAAATTTTTAGAGCTGTTATTAGAGAATGGTGCATGTTTGTATTGAAGGAATTTAATTGTTCTTTAACTCCTGATTTTAAGTGTAGATGTCTAAACTGTCCTTAGTTGTTAGGGGCTATTCTCTACAGCATATTGTGTATTGCTTTGCAACACTAGACAATGTAATTTTTCCTGCTTTTAACAGTCTTTCTTCAGCTGGAACTACAAACAAGATCTCAGCTCAGAAATGGGACCTTGATAATTTTGTTGTGGTTTCTCCCTATCTACGGTACTCTAACACTGGCTTTTTAATTGGTAAAGCTTGAGAGGGAGGTAATATGCAATGGGGAAGAAAAATTTGCCTGAGCAAACATAGCAGTTAATATGTAGAATTTCTTAAGAAATTCTTGACTGAATAATATGCCTGCAATATTCAGCATATTTAACTTCTTCAGTGGAGTGTTCAGCTGTGTGAGAGGAAACTTTCAGGAGCAGCATTTCCTGATGCTAACTCGGTGTGGTGGTTGAACAGTATAGTTTATCTCTCTGCCCCTTTTTAGGACTACAACGATGAAATCAGACAGGCACAGCTTCAAGAATTAACATATTTGAATGGTGGCTCAGAAAATGCAGAAGTTCCAGTAGTTCGTGGGAAACCATCTATTCGAGCCAGAGGAGTGCCGGTTCCTGCTCTCTCCAGGTAAGTACCTCGGCTCCAGTGGAATTCAATTTGAATGTGTGTATTTTAAGCTTCTCACTTCAAACACCAGAAAAACCCACCCCAGAGTACAAAGTGAAATACATGAAGGACCCTCAATAAGAGCAAAAGATAAGGGAAACCAATCTTGATTTGTTGAAGGTAGTGTAATTAGCTCTGAAATTAATTCACAATGGTGTCAAAATTTGTCAAACTTGAATGGTACCTAAATTAAGAAAAAATATACATTGTAAAGATGTTCAATCTTGCTGTGAGCAGCACTTGTGTGCTGCTGAATTCTGAGTTGCTCTTGAAGTGCATGTAGGGTCTGTCATATTTGCCCTACGGAGCTCGTGCCTTGCTTGACATGAATTTCAGACCCATTTCTCTAGAATGGAATGTATGTATTGCTTTTACTGTACTATGAAGTTTTTATTATAATCCTGATTAAGATAATGTTATAGAAGTGTTTTGCAGGTAGGATTTTAGTCTCATCTGTGTTGTGCTTGCTTTGTTAAAAAAGGGTTTTGTTTGATTCAGGAATAGGCAAGTCTACAGCTTCTCTTGCTTTATTTTTCTTTGACACAGGATGTGTTTTATTTTTACTCTAGCATCCCCTGTCTTCCTTGCAGTACTGAGATGACAGCTTCAACTCCTTTGAGTCTGAAAGTGTGAAAACAAGCTAAATAAAGTGCATGACTGTTTCTGTTACAGTACAGAGATTGTGGCTGCAGCAGCTAAATGTGACAGTTTCCTACAGTGAACTATTTTCCTTCAGTTCTGGCTATGGGGTTTATTAATGCAAGCTTTAAAACTTACATTTCAACTTTTAAGCCAATTTCAAAATATTCTGTAGTGTTTGAACTCAGATTAAGCATGTTAGAAGAAAAAACACTGAGGAATTATTCCTTATATACAGTTCTTACAATTATGTGGATTCTATAATGACGACTGCAAACATAATGGATAATCATGTAAAGAATTTAAACTTACTGTTGTATCCTCTAAGAATATAACTTTCTCTAAGAATACAAGAACAAAAATGTAAGTGATGTTGTGTAATAAATACATCTGTACCATTTAATTTCTTGATTTTAGTGTTCAGAGTAGTGGTAACTGTATACTAAGGCTCACTTTAGCACTGTCATCAGCCACACAAAGGTGCTTGCAAATTAGAATACACTTAATTTTGAAGATGGGTTTTTGCTAATTTTTCTTCAATTCTGAAATACTGTTTTTAACTTTCCCATAGATGCCTGTAACAGCTCTGCTACAGATGTTCAGTACAGAGACAGTTCTGTTTCATTTTTTTTCTTCATTTTTCATGTCTTTAAGCTAGTGGATGTGATACAGAAATTGTTTTGTCTGATCTTATCACTGAAGTTTCATACCTAGTTTCCACTGCTAGTATCTAGTACATGTGTGCATACTTTTCATAGTAATGAATTTGTAGCATCACTAGTCCCATCATCTGGATACTGGAAAATGATCTTTTCACACCTGCATTTTATGTAAGACACATGTTCTTAAGTAACTCACAAAATCCTTTGTAGTTCATCCTGTTGGCCTACAACTATTGAATTGTCTTCAGCATAAATTTAAATGTTACTAACACTTGATTTGGAGATGACAGCTAAAAACTGTCATCTCCTTTCTTATATATGTTCTAAAGAAAACTGAAAGGTTGTTGGTTTGTTACTTTAAGGCTTGTCTTTTACTGTAAGGCTCTTCCCCCTCAAACTGAAGTGCTCTGTTAGCATAAAAGATTGCTTGTGTGAAATTTAATGCTGTTGCTACTGTGATACTACAGCCATTGAGTTAAGTATCTTAAACTCAGTTGTAATACTCCTATTCCTTTTTAGCACAAATTCATTTCAGTGAGTAATACTGTTATTGAAGGAAGGCTTTGTTAAAGGCTTTGTCTTGGTTGTTAAATAAAACAGTTTCAATAGCAAGCATCCCTGAGATCCAGGAGAGGTTGAAGCAAAGCTTGAGAAGACTTGTAAAATGAAACCCAAACCCTTGACCCTATTCTCTTTGCAACCCATAGGATATTTCTAAGATAGCAGCCTTGGTACATGAAACATCCTGTTGAGGATGCAATAACTGCATGTGCTTAGGTTCCTGGTTTTTTTTTAAGTCTTTATTATTCCTGAGTAGTTTCACTTAAAAGAATCAAAGTACTAATTTATGCCTTTTTTTACTCCTTATCAGACATGTTGAAACTGGAGATAATGCATCTTATCAAGTGCCTTCTTTTAAGAAGACTTGTTACGTGTATGTTTAGCTCCATAACAAAACTTTACTTTGTAGAAAATGTTTGTGCTTGCATACAAAATTGTAGCTTGTGCACAGGTATTCCTGTATATGGTAAGTAATTTCCTAATGGTTGGGATTTGGTAACTTTTTTATTCTGCTGTTTCTGGCTTGTTCCAGATTTCTTTGAGTGAATTTTTTTATGACTCTAGAGAGAAGTAAGATTTTGGGGATGAGTGGATAGAATTTGCTTTAGAAGGGTTGTGTATGTTTTGAGCTTGGCCTTTGGGAATGTTTTCTTGTCATCATTGATCTCTGACATATAGCTGCTTCTTCCTGCCCTCTTGCCCCCATTTTTATTTCCTTTATCCTAATAGTGTTAAAGATGACCTTCAGATGTAATCACAACACTTCTATTTTCTGCAACATTTCTGCTGAGCATTTAACCTCCTTAGGTTGTACCTATCCCTTCTCTGCATGAGAATGGACATGAGAATCTTTCCCTGGTGGAAGTCTGGCTTTCAGTCCTTTGGTTTTAGTATAAATTAATACTATTCTTAAATTATTTTTTTGGAGATGACTAAAATGAAGTATCATACCAGTTACTTTTTAACTATTGTGCTAACAAGCTTAGAGGATCCCCTGTACGGTATGTGATGCTGTTACAGTTAGTAACTAAATGATGTGCCTCTTGGAATCTGTTTCTTTAAAGCATTTGAATTCCCATCCTGAATCAGTGCAATATAAATGATGATAATACTGAAATGTCAATTGAGACTTGCAATTAACTGACTGCAAATAAATGTGTTAACATACATGTTAATGTACACATTTAAGGACATTTTGCAGCTAAAGTAGCATTTCATCTCTAAAATATCAAATTCTTATTTTAAGAACAAGTAAATATAAGACTTAAGGATCACTCAATTCTGACTCTTAAGTTATATTGTAAAAGGGGAATTCTAGATGGTAGTAAGCCTAAAGATATGGATAATTCCTTGCTACCTTGGAGTGTATGCATGGGAATCAGCTCATGTCACTTGCAGCTAGAAATCACTGCTAGAATCAGAATGTTTGGGTTAGAAAGGGCCTTAAAGATCATCCAGTTCCAACCCCCCTGCCATGGGCAGGGACACCTCCCACTAGATGAGGTTGCTTAAAGCCCCATCCAACCTGGCCTTGAACACTTCCAGCAAGGGGCATCTACAACTTCTTTGGGCAACCTGGTCCAGTGTCTCATCTCCTTCATAGTAAAGAATTTGTCTAATCGTAACTGGAAGAGGATACTGTTAAACTGCTTTCCCATGTCCTCTGACTACATGTCCTGGTAAACAGTATCTCTTCACCTTTCTGATAAGCAGCCCCCCTCAAGTATTGCCAGGCAGCAGTAGGGGAAAGCTGATTGGGCTCACTCCTGGACTGAGAGAGGAGTTGTACTTCAAAGCAGGTATTTTGGTTTCACTAAGATAAGAGGAGGAAAAAGTCAGTATATAGGAATAGTCTAAAGAGAGCAAAATTCTGGTTTATGCTTGCATGAGAGTATGGGTTCCTCTACTTTCCTATTTATTGTTTTGTTTCATGTATCATTGTATGCATGGCTGAGATCCTCATGGTAGAATGACTAACTTTATCTAGGGAAAAATAAAACAGTTACACAAATTGTAGATGAGAATTTCTTGTCTTGTGTCAGAAGTAGTATGAGGTGGTGTGGATCACTGCTGTGTGTTCACAACTTCAAATTATGCTCTTATATGTCTGGAATCAAGTGGTTTCTTTCCTGAGGAATAACTTTTTGTTGAGAATATGTAGATAGTTTGCTGCAAAAGATTCTGTAGCACAAAAATTTGGCAACACTGGTTCAGGATTCAGGATAAAAGCAGGTATTATGTTCCTTGTTTTGTTTAGTCTTGTGATAAATATCCCATTTTTCACAATTGGAACACAAACATTGGTTTCAAATAAAAATGTGAAATCACTTAGTGTTAACTGCAATGATGAAATCCTTGTTCTGTCTGTGAGTGTTACCTAGATCTCAGTGTTCAATATTCTGCTGTTGGCATTTTAGAATAACAGGTATGTTATCTTTTGTGTGTAATAAAGCCTGAACAAAATATTTTGTTTGGGAAACATTGTAGTTGGTTGTGCTCAAAGGAAGAAAATGCATCAACATCTGGTAACAAAATCTGTTAAATCCATTCATTGAGCTGTTTAAATCCTTGCAGATGTATGGAACTATGAATGCTAATATGAAAAAATTTTCCTCATTGAATATCAGTGTTAGGGAACTAGCCCTAAATTTCATAAATACTTTTACTTTAAAGCCATTCTTGCACTTCCCCTTCTAGAGGGGAGAGATTGAGGAGCTTCATATTTATGAACTCATTGAATTTTTGTTCTTTCACTAAAAGTGAAGTAAAGCTTTGTGACTTGTAATTTCATAATCAGAGTAATTCTATGAAATCATCCAGTGAAAGGTGAAACTTGAAAATTGGTATAATACTAGAGAGAAGAAAGTGATAAATGAATAAAGAAGATAGAGCAATTGCTGAGGGAAGCTGGGAAGGAGTATGAGCGAGAGGCTATGCCTGCTACAGTCAATAGCAATAACGTAGTAGACTGGGAACAAATCCTAGAAGTACTGTGGGGCTCTGTAAAGTGGAAATGTCAAAGATTATTGCTAATGAAGGCTAAAGAGGAAGTGTTTAAGTAGTTTCCTATGGATGTATGAGTTGGTAAAATACTATTTT